TCAGCGAAAAGGAACCTCCTCAACACTCAATCACCAGTAGAAGTGATGAGTGGTTGTGTGTGTGGGTATACGTGAGGACAAGTCGAATTGCATATAACTCCTGTTGAATGTTGGTTCGAAGAAAACTACCCAGTACAAAATGAGATCTAAAACTATCATTATTGGTGGCCAGAAAATCGAAGGCTATTTCTTAAAAGATAACTTGGTAGAATAACGTATTTTACTCATTACCAAGTAATGACTTACCAAAGAGCGTGTCTGAGTGCGAATTCGACGATTGTATGTTTGATACTCGACTTGAAAAACAAAACAACCTAGATGTTCGGTTCACCATATATGATATATTTAACTAAATATCGAAAGATAGTGTGCTCAATTCCAGAGACATAAAATATAATAATATAGGTTGTGGTGAAATTGAAGAAAAATTCAACACAGCTATTTTAAAATAAAAATAAATTTAATTAAAAAAGGTTTTGATTTTAAGTGATCAAAAAATAATTAATTATTTTTTGTGAAATGCCCTTGGCCTGTATGTAGCCACGACTTCCAAAAATAAATTTATTAAGAACTCCCAATTGCTTGGAAAATACAATACCATACATGGGTTTTATTTTAGTTAAGACTTTTGATTTTTGGACCTACCCTTAGGCCCTACAAATGAGAAGGTCTAATTTCACAATTATTTAAAATGTGCAAAATTCTATTAGATTAATTGATTTTGTCAAAATCCATCAGCTCCCTTGAGGAGGAGACTTAACAAAATATATAACTATTTATTTTTATACAAAACTCTATGAAAAATTCTGAAAGTTAGGCAGCCACGCATCATCGTTTCCCACTGTACGCTTGAAATTATAGACTTAACGAAATGACAAATCAAACAATACCAAAAATATCCAACTATTTCAAAACTATAAAAGCTAGCTTACATTTCAGTTTAATAAATTATCTTTATCTTTAGTTTTGGGTTTTGCTCAGCCAACTACGACTATTGGTAGGTGAATGGGCTGTTTAGTAACTCAAACCAAATGGGAAGCTGGCTGGCTGAATGAGGATCTCGAGGCTAAAGTAACGACACAAATAGCGAACACATCCACAAAGATTGAGGGATGTGTGTGTGTGTGTATAGGGTGCATTACTCTTCTGTCTCAGCAACAGAGCGAGAGAGAGAGGAAAACACACAAAATGTCTCAAGGCATTTTAAAATTGAGATAAGGTCTTTTGCCTGCAAAACTTTTTGTTTTTCCTTCTCACAGAGGCCTCTGCCTCTGTTTTGCAGGCAGGCAGGCAGGCATTGAAATACCGATGCTAAACGAAGGAACTAGGTGTTCATTTGTATGGGTGAAGGAGATGCCACATACATGCCTACATATGGCAGACGGTCCTACACAAGATGTTAGTGGTAACATATGATATTATCCACATGCACACTCACACACACACACACTTTTGCATTTCCAAACAAAACTTACAATCCCAGGAACAAAACAAGGCCACAAGGAAACCTTTTTTTTTGTTTTTACTCCACATCGAGGGGAAGAACTTTGAGCACACAACTGAACATTTGTGACTTCGATACCCAAATGAATTGTATCGGTGTGTGTGCGTGTGTGTATGAGTGCACGGCTACAAACTTACACTGCTAAAACATAAATCGAAATGTTTTTAGTGAGTTTTTGGTCTGCTTCCTTGGCTGACTGCTAAGTTGGTTTGTTGGCTTGACTAACTGGTTGTTTGGTTGGCTGGCTGGCTGTTGCATGGTTAGGTTACTCGATATCCTTCAGTGTCCTCATCGCCAACATTCCTGCATTTGACCTGAGGCGATGTTACGTTTTTGGGGTCTGTTGTATTGCAAAAGTATTGAGCTGTTGTGTTTCAAAGGAACAGTCCCAAATGAATGAAAAGATGGAAGCCAAAGTGTATCGACAAGGAGAAGAAGAAGAAGGAAATAAAAACAAAACCGAAACTAAGTGGAACACATCTAACCACCCAAAAGATTACAGAATTCCTTTGCAAACTCTTAGACCCACGAAGTGACGAGGGTGGTCTGATAAAATGGGAACTTTTTTTTTAAAATAGGAAGAATACAAGTCATTCATGGCTTGTTTTGTAGAATTGTTTGGTAAAAAATACTTTGAAATAGTACAGGATTTAGTGCTTTCAACCTGCGTATTGTTTATCCCTACTCATGGTACGTTGGAATGCCCATATGCTAGGTGATATAGGATACGAATACAGGTTAGGTCTCTCCCGTATTTGTTGTTTTACCGACATTTGAGCAATTTATCAGCATCATGAGACTTTTTACATTAAAAAAAATGTACTTCAGCTTCTTCTCCTTATTAAGTTCCGGCTATAAAAACCAGTTGTCACAAACATCAGAATTGATTTCGATAAAATAGGCAGTGATTCTGATCATTCCTTATGCCGGAAATTCTTCACCTTCTGGGGTTTAGAGCAGGCAAACAATTAATGACAATATCGGAAGTGTCTATACCAACTACCGAACGAAATACCAGTACTAAACACCAAAGGAAATAATACACTGAATCAATGGATATGCAGTTGCTAGAAGGCTGTGGACATATATTCGGTAATAATACCAGGATAGACTGAATTCATAAATCAATTCCACTTCATACATTTTAACACAAGACTAAGCTTAAAAGCTGAAAACATGTGTGGCTCTTCGTTGCTTCCAAAAATTTTAAACCTGGAATTCCGAAAACTAAAATATTTGATTTTTCTATTGTCTACCCAGCCAAATTTTTGGTAACCCCCAAGCACTGATGTTTTGTTATTTTCCCTAAATCCATAGCAAAAAGCTCTTTTAGTATTTTTTTAGAAATTCTGGAACAATTAAAACAATATCGAAACTATCAAATAAAGTGACTATCGATAGTTTGCCATCTCTAATGAGGGTGCCCAGAGGATATATTTTATTCACCTCATCAGTGACTGCACCTTTTCTAATAGCACTCCGAGCTGCCTGATATGCCTCAGCTGGTTGCATTTCATTTTTATGATTAACCACCCCTTATTAGATGCCACTCGTACTACTTCAAATTTCTATTTCCGCAGTGTTTGTCTTCTCCGTTGACTCACTGAATGATTGCAAGAATACAAGTTGTTGCTTCAATTCTCGCTGGTTGGTCGGTGGGGAACACACCAATGGAATTGACTTGGTATGGAGCCAAGCTGACTTGTCGGTGTCGTTGGCTTACAGCTTGAACGATTCGTCTGTGTTCGGGAGGGTGGCATTGAATACACGACGCTCCTACACGTATTGTTATTGTTGTAGCTGATATCTTTAGTTATCCCGACTCAATGCCAAAAGGAAACTGGCTTTTTGTCCCAAGTCTCCTGTAACCACGTGGGTGACTATGTCTAAAGTGAGCATGTGTGTGTGTGTGTGTGTATCGAAAGTTGTTAGTTCATCCATCGAAGGGTGTTTCGGTGGAATGAAATTTCAATGCACGAATGAGTACTTCATCCATTCCGCCCGAGGCCATGACCGTAAGGTTTTTGTCTGTGCTGAACTTTGTGCTAAATATTTGTTTAATGCTCTGCCCTGCTCTAATACATGGCACCCGTGCCGCCATACCTCCACAACACATCCGCCATGCAGGCAGCCAGCCAGCCCTCTCCCGCTGTCTGTTGGTATTGTCTTTGTAGCTTGTAACAAGCTACCACCGCATCCATCCCCCATTCTCAAGTCAAACTGCCTTCTACCCGTAAGTCTTGCAATGGCTTCAAGGCTTTAAAGCTAAAAATGTCATGGCGTTTTTCTACTCTGCTCTGTTGCTGCAGCTCATGTTGTATTATCTTCCTCCTGATTACCTCGGGGAATTTCAGTCAGTTTTGTGCAGAGCATTTCGAACAAAAACTCTTCTAATTTGTAGTTTGGAATTTTGATAAAGGATCAGCAGCGGCAAAGCAACAGCAACAGCAGTAACAACAGCGTCTAAAGCAAATACACAAATAATTCGCTAGTTGGCTGTAGTTTGGCAAGAGGTCTGGCCGAGTACGAAGTCAACCAAGCACATGTGTGTATGGAATATCTGCCGTATTGTAACATTTAATGAGATTTTAAATAAATATTTATCTTAAAATGTAAAAATCCCTCAAGTTTTGAAAAGTTGTTTTGTTTTTGTGAACCAAGTGGATGGCGTATCTGTTGCCCCATATCTCATTCCCCAGACGACCAACCACCATCATTGATTTCACATTTCATGGCCATCGTCATCCTGAGCGTACAAAACCAAACAAAAAGTCTTATAGCCAGGGGAGAGAGGGCGAGAGAAAGAGAGGCAAAAAAAGGTTTACCGTAAAACTCCAATGCTCCGGGGGGTCAGATAAAACACCCACTGAGTAACGCAAAGAGAAATAAAATTAATCGCATGTGAATGTCAGACCGATAAATTTCTTAAGTTTTCAGGCCACACACAAGACATGGGTTAACATTCACATTCGGATTGGAATCCTAAAGGAGTTGTCCATATCTGTATGGACATTTCATATTTAAAGATAAATTCCAATTAATTTACAATTGCCACAGCGTTGACGATGCGGAGGAGGAAAATTGCATCTGAAATACTTTTCAAATGTGAAAAAATTTGAAAAAGAGCCCATTGAGCTAATTGCTGTTTCCCAAATTAGTTTAGCGGTGAAACTAGAAAAAGAGGTGAATGTTAAGTTCATTCTCACAAAATTACTTTGCTCAGAATCACAAGGGAGCAGAAAACTATCGAAAATCACATTTAAATTATGAGTGGATTTAGAAGAATTACCTTGTTTTTATATTTTTTTTTACTAAATTTTCGATCCTATACTCTTAGAGTAAGAGCGACCCACTAGAATATTTTTCATTTTATAATTTCATAGAATTGGTTTCAAAATTATTGTGTCCTGAAGCTATTGAAACTGCGTGCACATCCTCTCTTAATCTAGTCTCTGCTAATCCAAAAATTAATTCTTTCTTTGTTTCGTTTTTACAGGAAAAAATGCGATATGGATCGAGAACGCGAAAGAGAAAACAAATCGCTCGAACCCCGGGATTTATCATCGACTGGCAGGATTTATGCCCGTAGTGATATTAAAATTAGGTAAGTCAATCACACCCCTCCCCCACTTTAGGCTATATGCACTCGTACTATATTCTCCTTTAACACACAGTGCTTCTCCCACGGTCTCGCCAACGATCTCAAACTCTAGTTCGCCCACACCAACACCGCCAGCCAGCTCGGCGGTAACACCACTGGGCCTACCACCTGGCACCGTTGGATCGGGCATAACCAGTGGCTCAGGCAGCACTTCGGGCTCTGCAGGTAGTGCGGCATCATACATGCATGCCAATCATAAACCGATTACAGGAATTCCTTGTGTAGCGGCTGCAAGTCGCTATACAGCTCCGGTACACATCGATGTGGGCGGTACAATATATACCAGTTCATTGGAGACCCTAACCAAATATCCCGACTCAAAGTTGGCCAAGTTATTCAATGGTTCCATACCCATTGTTTTGGACTCGCTGAAGCAGCACTACTTCATAGATCGTGATGGTGGCATGTTTAGACACATTCTGAATTTCATGAGAAATTCAAGGCTCTTGATATCGGAGGACTTTCCACATCTGGAGTTGTTGCTGGAAGAGGCGCGGTACTTTGAAGTTGAACGTAAGTATTATTTTTTTGAAAGTCTAAAGATTTGGCAATAATGTTCTTCCTAATCGCAGCCATGATTAAACAACTGGAGGCCATGCGTAAAGATCGGGTGCGCAATGGCAACTACTTGGTGGCTCCGCCCACACCGCCTGCTCGCATCAAAAGTAGTCCACGCATTGGCAGCAACAACGAATTCAACTACGAGGTGGTGGCTCTGCACATCTCACCCGACTTGGGCGAACGAATTCTACTGTCGGCCGAACGTTCCCTGCTCGATGAGGTATTTCCCGAAGCCAGTCAAGGCACCCAGACCAGTCGCAGTGGTGTATCCTGGAATCAGGGTGACTGGCGGCAAATCATCCGTTACCCGCTCAATGGTTATTGTAAACTCAACTCGGTGCAAGTCCTGACAAAGCTGCTCAATGCCGGCTTCACCATTGAGGCCAGCACCGGGGGCGGTGTCGAGGGCCAGCAGTTTTCAGAATATTTACTCGTAAGACGTATACCAATGTGATAAACTCGAGGAGCGAGTCCGGTGTAATGTAATCCAGCTTAGCCAGCTCCCTCTTTAAATTCCGTAATTTAAAGAATTCCACGTAATCTTAGATATTTTTAGACAACAAATTAACTTGGATACACCTACCATTAGCATTGATTCATTCATTGATTACAACTAAACTAAGATATAAGCACAGCAAACCGAAAATGAAAAAAACTGAAATCCCTTGGCCGTTCCAGGCAAATGTGGGGAAGCTAGAAGATGTTTTTATAAGGTTATATTCAAATTCATCAAATAAAGACATGCTGGAGCATGTTTTAATTTTACCTTAGTTAAGTCCAACGAGGAAGAACTGATTTCTTAGTTAAATGTTGAATTAAGTATTTTAATTTCGATTTGTACAAATAACTGAGTGTATTTATTTAGTTTTAAGTTGTATTTTTGCAATTCCCAGTTTAAGTTGCAGTTCATTATTAACCATATCCCATCCCATTAACATCACACACACACACACCACTTCATAATAAAAAAAAAACAAGAATCTATTCTCCTTGATAAATGACCCAACATTGAACAGGTGGCAACAAGAAATTATCAGTGTAATTTTTCTAAGTGTAGTTTCATCTTAAAATAATTATAACTAAAAAAAGAATAAATAAATAAAGTAAATTAATAAGAATTTAATGAAAATAAAGGGGATTTAATGTGTACTCTCATTGCATAATAAGGTAGGTAATGGCTAAAATCGTTGTGGATAGAATGACTGAAATGTGTCTCTTAGCTCAGAAGGGTAGTTGAAGGTAAGTTCATTCAATATTTAAAATTGTTGAAGCTGCAAAATTGATAACTATTAGGAGTTGCAAACGAATTGACAAACTTAATACACCTGTCCTGACAACCTGATATAACGATAAAGAATTGCTCCATCGGAAAGTTCATTCTGCGATCTTGAGAACTCTAAGTTTTAAAGCTCTTTTATTGAAGACTGACAAAATTGAAGTATTTTTTAGTACTAAACCCGATTCTTCAAATAAATATTTTGTTTTACTTATCTGTCGTATAAGGCATTTATATCGTCATAGACTTATATATTCATTAATCTATTGCCCTATCTGGAGCAAACACTGACGACAACGTAATGGTAATCCTTTACCTTTCGACTAATGTCTTCAAGGTTTTGCGTACTTAAATTGTTATACCCCCAGCCATATAGTTTATTTGATACGGCCAAAACATGTCGAAATAACGATTTTAGGCCCTAAATTCATTTGACCAAATCCGTTTCAGGAAATTTGGAGTAGTCCTAGGGGTGTTCGCCCTTCCGTCCGTATGACTGTTGCGCACGATATCTCGAAGGAAGCATTCTATTTAGTCCAAACTTGGTACATCGTGATATAATTATCAAACTTAGATCGAGTTCGGAGACTGACAATATCGGTCCACTCCTTCTGGTACCTTCCCCACAAGAGGTCAACATTTTCAAATAAATTACAAAGACCTAAAATGGTAAAGACTAGACAAAATGGTAAAGACTTGAGCAAATGGTTTGTGGCTATACTATCTTGAAAAACAGGTCATGACAGAGGAATGTTAATACCAAAAACACAATAATAGAAAAGACTGACAAATAAAAGTTTGAATAATCCAACATTTTGGTCCCAAAATTCTATTCCATTGACCTTTCCAATTAGTTGCATATTGCCTTAGCGGTTTAAATTAACTAACATTGGCAACTATGTTGTTATGATATCGTAACAACAGAGGTATTTTCACAGGTTTGCCATATTTTGACTCTGTCTTGTCCTATCTTTACACTTCTATGTCTTTGAAAATTATCTTGCTTCTTAGAATGAGAAAGGATCATCCGATTTTGCTACAAGCTTGCAAATCCCAATATATTCATCAGTGCTAGGTTCGGTAGGAAAATGAACAATATCGGCCTACACAATCAAATACCTTCCCCACAAAGGGTCAAAATTTTAGAATGTTTCTAACTCTTATAAAATATAAAAAACGAGTCCGATCGTCTTCAAATTACACAAATTCTTATATCTGTTGCTTTTCTTAGCGGGCTTCCGCCTTTTTTTGCGATTTTGAAAAAAAAAAAAAAACATATTTCTGTAAGTTTTTTAATGTTTTTTTTGTCATGCCATCGGCCATATACATTTTGTCTAATCTTTATAGTTTTATGTTTTTGTCACAACATAATACCTTAGACTAATGAAAAATAGACGAAGAAATGCTCTGACCGCTTATCATCGAAAAAAAATTTAAATCAGTTGAAGTCGTCTATGTCGTTTCAGGTGTAGGAGTGAAAATGTTGAAGTCACTCAAGTCTAAAATATTAAACCACTGTAAGAAATGTATGAACTGTAAATTATGCATTAGAATAGAAAAAACTGTCCCATACATGAAGACATCCAAAAATATTCGCTTAAACAATTGTAATTATTGAAAATTTAATTAAATGGTTTCCGAAGTTGGGTTTGAAACTGGCCAAGTAAAAAATAAACCTGACTGGGCAAAAACTGGTGTTTCGATATCTGTTAGCAACCAATATTGAAAGCTTTCGTTGTATTTATTTTCGTTAGTCTATGATAAAATATATTTCAACTACCAACGACATCTATTGAATAAAGTAACAGCGAAATTTCCCATGTTTATGGATTATGTCTTTACTATGCATTAGTCTATGTCCACGCTAAAACTACAAAAAAGGGATAATGACGACATCTGTTAACGAAAAAACTCACCATGAAAGCTTTCTATGTTTTGTTTGTTCTCCAAAAGCAGCATTGAAAGATTGTCACACCAAATATACACACGTAATCGATATGTACTCAAACCGAAAAACGAATTATTAATCGATAAACTCCGTAAACAAACTGCCGAGAAGCCAAAACGAACATTTATTAACGACGACGCCACGACGCGACACTAACAAAACAAATCACACATCCGATTCAGGGAAGTATTGCAATAAACAATTCAATTAAAACACAAACACTTTAAGACATTTAAACTTCTTTTTGCACACTGTCATTTGCACCTGACAAATTTATCACCAAAACATAAACGCATCGGACCGAACTTCAAAAACAACTGCATCCCACGGCTGCCACGGATAAACTAATTGAGAGAAGAGAGAATTCATATCAACAAACGGCGCAATTGCCGAAGGCTTGAGCGTGTGTTAGTGAAAAAGAACGGTAGAGTTGCAAATTTGTTTGATACTGAATTTGTGAGATTCGTTTTAATATTGACTTTTTATTTTTTATTTCTGCCATTTGACAAGAAAGGAAATATGGAATTTAAATTTTTTTCATTCTGCTATAAATACACAGGACAACTTTGTCACAAAAACACAGGCGCATCGGACCGAACTTAAAAAACAACTACATCTCACGGCTGCCACGGATAAACTAATTGAGAGAATTTCTATCAACAAACGGTGCAATTGCTGAAGGCTTGAGCGTGTGGTAGTGAAAAAGAACGGTAGAATTTGAAAATTGTTTGAATCTGATATTGGGAAGATTTCTTTTAGTATCGACTTTTTATTTTTTTTATATTTCTGCCATTTGATGAGAAAGCCCTTGTGACGAAAAAGCCAACACGAATACTGACTCAACTACCACGCAACGGCACTAACAAAATACAAGCACGATCGAGTATCATTAATTTTAATTAATAATAAATTAAAACAACACAATAAACATTTTATAAAATTTAAATTTTCCTTTTTCACACTTCTATTTGCACAGGACAACTTTTTCACAACAACACAAGCGCATCGAACCGAACTTAAGGGACAACTGACTCATACAGCTGCCACGTATAAACTAATTAAGAGGAGAGAGAATTTGTATCAACCAACGGCGCCATAGCTGAAGTTTTTTGCAGGTGTGTGTGAAAAAGAAAGATTGGAATCAGTGTTGCCACCAAAAAAGCTGCATATTACACTCGGATGATGACATTTTGGGAAAAATTACACATTTATCAACATTTTTTTAATAAAAGTGCAAAAAAAAACGTAAATTCATTTTATATTAAATTTATATAATATTTCGAATTATTATCTTCATATTACCCTTTATTACACAGTAGTGTTTTCAAAAAGAAACTGACAGCTTCGCAATATTTGATGATCGCTACCAATATCATGAATTCATCCCGGCGAAGAGAATGATCACTTTGCTTTTTTAGCTTTTTGATTGGACGATTTTGGTGAAAGCAAGCAGTTTAAGTATCGAACATTCTCCAGTAAATGAGAAGCATATTTCCTTTCTGCCTTTCCCAAAAATCATCAGCTAAAAATTCTTTCTGCAGTAGCAATAAAGAAGGGAAGGATTATAAGAAGTGTTAAAAATAGTAAAACTATAAATTACACATGAATTACACATGCCACTTATAACACATGGGCTACACATGCAACAAAAAATTACACACGTAATTACACATGAGGTGGCAACACTGATTGGAGTGCAACATTTTTTGATAATGAACCTGGGAAGCTCCCTTTAATTAATTAAAAAGTCTTATTCTTATAATTGGATCCTTTTAATTTATAACCTAAAATTGCATTCCATTTGTAACTCAAATTTTGAGAATAAGAAGATGGGAACCTTATAGCATCTCTCAGGCTTTTATTTCATTGCTAATTTCGGAACATTAAAGAGAAACAAAGAAATATAATAATTAACAAAAACAGCCGGCTAAGTTTGTTATTTGCTTGTTCATACTGGACCTTGGAAAAACTCAATGAAGTAACTGTCAATATTTCCCTACTCTTTACTGGGCTTTTGAGTAAGTATTAGATAACAAATTTGCTCGTTTTTTTTGCGGTGGAGCGCTCCCGATTCGCTCTTGTTTGAAAATTAGAGTGGCAGCCGTAATATATTTAGCGGCAATTAAATGCTCTTTACTGTCATTTACAGCCTGTTACACGATATCGAAAGAACAAGTTCAAACACATTTTCCACTAAAATCCATCCGAACGAAAAATTGTACGAACAGCAAAGCGAACGAAAACATAGGCAATTCAGTGCTCTTTTTCCGTTCCACTATCTTTTTTGGCACGCATGCGAACACAAATGTCAAAATCAGTCACGTGTGTGTTTGCTGTCGTCTGCTTATAATTCAGGAGAATTGTTTCTACATAAATATTGCTATGAAAGGGAAACAAAAAGGTGAGTAAAAATAATAAATACAATTATAGTATGTCAAGAACAATTAAACATTTTTTTCCTCAAATCCAGCTCGAAAAAATCATCTACTTCACAACTGGCGGCACTAGTTGATTATATGGAAAAAAATCCTGAGTTCGCCAGAGGAGTTCCAATATTTGGAAGCACCAACAGAAATGTTAATTTTTTGAATAAATAAATAAAAGTACGTTTATATATATGAGGGTTAACCCACTGGATTTGGATTTAAATTGTCATATCCATTACTTTTACTTCAAATAAATCCTCTCAAAGAAGGTTAACCCTACAAAAAGTTCTAACGTAAACATGGCATAAATTGAACAAAATCACTGAGAAACTAGGAATGTTATTTTGTTTGTTTATTTACACTTTGTTTACAACTAATGTGTCAGTTCAGACAAAGCCAGTTCACTTATGATAGCATTTTTTAACAGCCTTTTCGCGATTAAATCTGTCGTTTTGG